AGTGAACAATGAAAAACAACAACGTAAGTGAACAATGAAAAACAACAACGTAAGTGAACAATGAAAAACAACAACCTAAGTGAACAATGAAAAACAACAACGTAAGTGAACAATGAAAAACAACAACCTAAGTGAACAATGAAAAACAACAACCTAAGTGAACAATGAAAAACAACAACCTAAGTGAACAATGAAAAACAACAACGTAAGTGAACAATGAAAAACAACACCGTAAGTGAACAATGAAAAACAACAACGTAAGTGAACAATGAAAAACAACAACCTAAGTGAACAATGAAAAACAACACCGTAAGTGAACAATGAAAAATAACAACGTAAGTGAACAATGAAAAACAACAACGTAAGTGAACAATGAAAAACAACAACGTAAGTGAACAATGAAAAACAACAACCTAAGTGAACAATGAAAAACAACAACGTAAGTGAACAATGAAAAACAACAACGTAAGTGAACAATGAAAAACAACAACGTAAGTGAACAATGAAAAACAACAACGTAAGTGAACAATGAAAAACAACAACCTAAGTGAACAATGAAAAACAACAACCTAAGTGAACAATGAAAAACAACAACGTAAGTGAACAATGAAAAACAACAACGTAAGTGAACGATGAAAAACAACAACAAAAGGGAACAATGAAAAACAACAACGTAAGGGAGCAATGAAAAACAACAACGTAAGTGAACAATGAAAAACAACAACCTAAGTGAACAATGAAAAACAACAACCTAAGTGAACAATGAAAAACAACAACGTAAGTGAACAATGAAAAACAACAACGTAAGGGAACAATGAAAAACAATAACGTAAGTGAACAATGAAAAACAACAACGTAAGGGAACAATGAAAAACAACAACGTAAGTGAACAATGAAAAACAACAACGTAAGTGAACAATGAAAAACAACAACGTAAGTGAACAATGAAAAACAACAACCTAAGTGAACAATGAAAAACAACAACGTAAGTGAACAATGAAAAACAACAACGTAAGTGAACAATGAAAAACAACAACCTAAGTGAACAATGAAAAACAACAACGTAAGTGAACAATGAAAAACAACAACGTAAGTGAACAATGAAAAACAACAACGTAAGTGAACAATGAAAAACAACAACGTAAGTGAACAATGAAAAACAACAACCTAAGTGAACAATGAAAAACAACAACCTAAGTGAACAATGAAAAACAACAACGTAAGTGAACAATGAAAAACAACAACGTAAGTGAACAATGAAAAACAACAACCTAAGTGAACAATGAAAAACAACAACGTAAGTGAACAATGAAAAACAACAACCTAAGTGAACAATGAAAAACAACACCGTAAGTGAACAATGAAAACAACAACTAAAGTGAACAATGAAAAACAACAACGTAAGTGAACAATGAAAAACAACAACGTGAGTTAACAATGAAAAACAACAACGTAAGTGAACAATGAAAAACAACAACGTAAGTGAACAATGAAAAACAACAACGTAAGTGAACAATGAAAAACAACATTGTAAGTGAACAATGAAAAACAACAACGTAAGTGAACAATGAAAAACAACAACGTAAGTGAACAATGAAAAACAACAACGTAAGTGAACAATGAAAAACAACAACGTAAGTGAACAACGAAAAACAACAAAACGAGAGGAAAAGAAACGAAGCTGACAATGAAACACCCAGGGTTGTGCGGAGGAAGAGCAGCGCCTGGGGGCGAAGCCTGAATACGGCACCCTCAGTTTAAGGGAAAGACGTGCCGCCCTGGTTGGACCAATAAACGGAGAATTTTTTTTTCTCCACCTCGGCTTTGTGAAGTACATGGGATTATACCATTTAATCCAATAATAGGTCCTTTCTGAAGATGATTATTAGCGGCGCCCCCTAAACCCCCCCCCCCCCGATATCGTCACTCGGGGCGAATGCCCCCTTTTCCTCCCCTCTTCCGCATGGCCCTGTGGACGCCAGGAGAAGACACGATCAATCTTATTTTTCTCACCCAGTTGATTATGACTACTGACATAGTCAACTGTCTTCTGAACCTGGCACAATGCTGTAAACAAATTTAGTATGACCACTGACATCTTAAACTCCCCTCTGAACCAGGCAAAATGCGGTCAACACACTTAGTATAGCCACTGAAATTTTCAAATATCCCCTGAACTAGGCGCAATACGGTAAACACATTTAGTATGACCACTGACATTTCCAACAGTCTTCTGAACCAGGCACAATGCGGTCAACAACCTTTGTAGACAAAACAGAATTAAAATCCAAGTGCTTCATGTCTTGGGAGTAACCAATGCGTAGTCGCCCTTTAACAACTGCAATGCACGAAAGTGGGGCAGTTAAAAATTCTTCCAATTGGAATAATTGCGAAACAATTCATTTAATACTACAATTAAGTTGCTTGCGGCAATGAGAAGGGATAAATATAGGACAAGGTTCAGCGACCTCAGGTAAATCAAACCTTTCGGCAGGTAATCCATAAAATCTGTTAAGGCTCAAGTAAAAAAAATAATTAAAAAAAATAATATCATGCTCATCTTGCACATTGTAGGTAGCCAGAAAAAAATAATATAAAGCTCACCTTGCACATTGCAGGTAGCCAGAAAAAAATCATATAAAGCTCACCTTGCACATTGCAGGTGGCAAAAAAAAATGTCATGCTCATCCTGCACATTGCGATTGGCCAGAAAAAAATATGCTCATCTTTCATTTTGCTGGTAGCCGGAAAAAATATGCTCATCTTAAACAATGTAGATAGCCAGAATTTTTTTTTTTAATAACAGGCTCATCTTCCCGTCAAGCTATCGAGCTGAAACCTGGCACATAGACCGATGAAAACAAATTCTTTCAAATATTTAGCCCCACCGCTAACCCCGACAGCAAAAAAAAATCAGTTTTTCCTGTTTTTCAAGGGGAACATGAAGTGAAATTCAATCTAACTGCGCTAAATGAGATTCTTACTAAAATATATCGCAAGTGCGTTTGGTGCGTAATATATTTTTTTTTTAATGAAATAGTTGGTGAAATAAAACTGCGATGTAAGAGTGGGTGGGTTATTAAAAATAATACTTTAGTTGAGGGGCGTGGAAAAAATGTGCGGTTGAGAGCCTTGGGGGGGGGAGGGGGAGGGGGAGCACTAACTGGGATTGTTTTAGAGTGCGTTACTTGTGTGCATGTCTTTTATCAAATGTTCATCCCCACTCCCTTTGCTCCCAAAAAGAGTTCATAAAGGATTTATACACTCACACACACACACACACACACACACTCACACACACACACACACACACACCCACCCACACCCACACACCTCCACACCCACACCCACACACCCACACCCACCCACCCACCCACCCACACACCCACCCACCCACCCACACACACCCACCCACCCACACACCCCCACCCACACCCACACACACACCCACACACACACACACACACACACTTTTGTAGTCAGAGAGGTTTCTGGCCCCATGGAGACGGCTGTGCCTCCCTCTTCAAATATTTTCTCCTGAAAATACAGCATTATATGCAGCATTACACATTCTAAGAATCTAAAATTTATTCAGGCGAATATCTTTATAAAATATTAACACCATACAAAAATGAACATTACGAAACTAATATTTTGCCAGGATTCATTGGATTGAACAACATATCTTTCAGAATTAAAAAAAGGAAGTCGAGGTCAGTAACGTTTGCATCGCATTCCAAACTTTATTTCTCGCCATGTTTGTTAGGACCTAATTTCCTAACAAGTTTGTTTTCTAAAAGGTCTTTTGTCACATGGTCACTACTTGACACGATGCTCTGTAGTGATCACGATGGTCTGTAGTTGTCACAATGGTCTAATGTGGTGAATCACGATGGTCTATCGTTGTCACATTGGTCAGTGGCGATCACGATGGTCTCTTGTTGTCACAATGGTCTGTGGTTGTCACAATGGTCTGTAGTTGTCACAATGGTCTGTAGTTGTCACCATGGTCTGTGGTGATCACGATGGTCTCTTGTTGTCACAATGGTCTGTAGTTGCCACAATAGTCTGTAGTTGTCACAATGGTCTGAAGTTGTCACAATGGTCTGTAGTTGTCTGTGGTGATCACGATGGTCTCTTGTTGTCACGATAGTATGTGGTTGCCTCGATGGTGTACATTTCGTCCAGCGGTCAGCAGTTAGCCCACTATCACGGGATTAGAGAGACCACTGCTAGTCTGGTAGTAACAGAACTGAAACAAATATATTTTTTTTTTAATTTTAGAAATAGTTGGTGAAATAAATCTGCGGTGTAAATGCGGATGGGACATTAGAATATTAATATAGTTCAGGGGCGTGAACAAAATATGTGGTTACGAACCGGGTGTGGGGGTGGGGGGTTGCGGGAG